TTGTAGATTTATTACGACATCTTCAACATTAATTCTTATATTTCTGTAAAGATTACAGCAGCAGAAGCTGGTTGATAGCAGTGATCAACGAAAGTTACACATATGATGACTATATAAAATGATTATGTACAGTATACAGATGAATCCATAATAAAATATGTTCCTAAAACCTTCCTGGCAGTCGCAGCTAGGAAATTTTAATAATATAATCACGGAAAAATTTATTAAACAACGTTTTATATCATAATTGTTGTGAGTTAGGATATATGTATATGTCACCGTAAAATTGTAATCTATCTCGCGAGATTGTGAATTGTCGAAAGATTGTGAACCTCAACGTACTGCTTACAATTTAACGTATTATTATTCGGTAGATTGTAATCTAAAGTTTTTATCCAAAACTTTGCACGAACTGTCTCCGTACGTCAAAATTCCATTTGACATTTGAGTCGAACAGCGCTGAGTCTCTGAGTCTCACCCTAGGAGCGTAACCCTATAGCTGGACAAATTAATTTCACATACATTTTGATTTAATTGAATCAATCCCATTACATAAATAGTTAATGCATAAATTAACATACACCAGTGATATACGGTAATCGCGTTTGCGGATCAGGGATAGATAATTTACATTGATCCTACTTTGTTAGTGTGCTATCAATACGGATAGGGCTGCAATTAGTTCCCCAGGGTTGCCACAAGATATTTATTCCTTGATGGGAACAATTTGTATTTCCACGGGGAATGTATCCTAAATGGAAATGTCTATAGTTACACATATACAGCTAATTTTATTAAGACCGAAATTAGCACGGCCAGATAGCTTAATAGCTAGATAATATTTTTATAAAATACTTTGATTAAAGTGTTTTTAGGGCACGAGAATAAGACAGGTTACCACGAAATTTCCAATAATAAATTGTGATCTTAATGATAAGCTGTCGGACAATGTATATCATGTATATTAAAATAACTGCAAAAATGATAAAGAGTGCCAATTATTAATAATTAATTATTATAAAACTTTTTTAAATTGTGTAAGTGTAACTGAATTTCTTGAAAATTTTTCTAACATTTGAAAGTTTGAAAATTGTGTTATTGAGAGTAATCTGTAAAATTCTTTTATAGACCCTTGTTCTATAAAAAAATTAACAAACAACAAGCAAACGGGCAGGAGGCTCACCTGATGTTAAGTGATACCGCCGCCCATGGTCACTCTCAATGCCAGAGGGCTCGTGAGTGCGTTGCCGACCTTTTATGTATTGGTACGCTCTTTTCTTGAAGGACCCTAAATCGAATGGGTGCGGAAATAATTGAGTGGGCAGTTGGTTCCACAAAGTGGTGGTGCGCGGCAAAAACTGCCTTGAAAAACGCTCAGTTGTGGAACGACAGACGTCGAGGTGATACGGATGGTATTTCGTACTCTGCCTCGACGTTCGATGATGAAACTCAGCTGCAGGTATTAATCCGAAGACTCTCCATGAAAACTGGCTTTAAAAATCTTTATGTAAAATAACTTGTAAATATTGTCTTTGATTTTCATAACCTTTACACATTTAAAGAAAAAACTGCCCACCACACGTCACCGTGACCACGCACGCTGTAAAGCACGCGAAACGTCGGATAAATTTAAAATTATGTTAAATAGTTGTAAATTTATAATAATACATAACTTCAATCCGGTCAAACAGTTTTTTCTTTAAACTTGTAAATAATCATTAACCGTGATTAAGGACTGGTTGACGCCATCTTGCATAGATAAGCGTTTTGGCGGGTTATTAAAATAATGAATATTTAATTCGAATTTTCAAAGCGATTATAATTTATATGAATAATTTGAAATGGTTTTAAAAACCCTGTCAAATTAAAAAACAATTCATGTCAAATCATTGTATACATTTATCAAATCAAACATTGGAAATATAAAATCTAGTGAAAATAACATACTATTTACTAATATAATATTCAAACTTTACTTAGACGAAGAGAAATTAAAAATGAAAATTTAATAATTAAAACAAAAATTAAAAAATACAGTATTTTATTTACAATTTAAAAAAACAATAACTAAAATATGTATATTATTAAAAGAAGTCCCTTTAGGTTCCGAAGATACTGGCATCGTTCCCCCTTTGAATAGCTAATTATAATGAATATTAATTTTATTTAATTTCTCTTCGTCTTAAAGTAATGTTTGCATATGATTAATAAATAGTAAGTCTGTTATTTTCACTAGATTTTATATTTCCAATGTTTGATTTGATAAATGTATATTATTAGCTTCTGATATAATTACAATAATATATATAGAACTTCTAATTAAGTTCATTAGTGACTGCTTTCACTTCTGTAAAAAACAGCTTAAAATGAATTCATCAGTCAGCGCTTTAACAATAACAAATACCAAAACCAACGAAAGAGCCCAAAGCCCCTAAATTGATTCTATCCCAATTTAAATTTACAACTTATTTGAAGAAACTTGAATCTGCGCTTTGGAGGTTGTGATTATTGCAGAATAATTAAGACGGGTTGCCGGCCGAGTCGGAATAACTGTCTGCCTTTGTCCATAATTGCTTCATAATAGCTTAGATTTACGTACTCTTATTTTATTTAGAAGTAACAAATATTTTGGATATAATTCAAAATAACAATCAGATTAATTAAGACTTAGGAATTTTCGAAATAGAATATTTTTATTAGTATTTACAATATTCTTAACCAACACAGTAATAATAAAAAAATGATTATTTATTATTATTATTATTATAGCCTCTTTTCGGACATGACAGTATTTTCTTTATTTTTCGTAGATTGTTCTTTATTCCACTTTTGTTCGTGTCCGTTTGCCAGGTGGCAAAGGCCTCCTGCAATCTTCTCCATTCTGGCCTTTCTATGGTCACTCTACCCAATGTTTTCTTCAATATGTTTTATATAATAATTATAATTAGCGCCTGTACACTTGAACCCCACGGCTCAAGGGAGTCTATCTCTTTACTCCAAAGGGAGTAACCATTCTCTGACAACTCTGCACCTGTCATCACAGACTACAATATCCACAAATATTAAACAATAACCTTAGTAAATATATTACTACTATTATTATCATTTAATCGGTAATACCAGCACTCCGACTTTTTTTAACACTAGACATATTCCCCTCGCAAACTCTTAAAAAAAATATATCCTTAGAACAATATCAGTATCAGACAACTTCACTGGAATCACGAATTTTAAAACACTTCCGTTACACACACCATACACATATTCTCTCAGTAATATTACTATTTAGTATGTAGACGTTTTAATTGGCGTTTTGGTTTAAAAAAAAAATCAGTAAATAAATAATAAATAAGTTAGGGACACGATAGTTTGCAACAGATGTTATTTCAGGCGATTTATTATTTAGTTTAACGCTCATTATTATTTGCCAATGATATTCTTGAGAAATACAGTCGATTATACCTTTACAATTTCGTTTCAATGAACTCAGTTCGATATTCGTTCTTTATTTAAATTGCTTATTATTTTTAATTTTGGTAATAAAGTTATTTGAGTTGAATTCAAAGACAAAATTCCTTTAAAGATAACTTAGTAAATTTATTTTGACTCGGGATCAAATTAATTTACTTTCTTACGACTAAAAAACAAATTTAAATTCCTTTATATCATTATTAAACGAGGATAGAGTACAATGTTAGTTGCCATGGTTTCCCATATTGTCGTTTATGGGTTGCTGTTCTGGTAGGTAGGTAGGTGGTGGTCTTGAATTCTTCCAGCCTAGAATTTTGAATCGATAATACAACAGACTATTCCAGACTGTCCACACTCGACTATGGTTACCATTCTTTTTATTTATTTATATAAGCCCTAAAACAATAAACAGTATATGTATTATATACTTAAAAATACGACAAATTAATTACACAGATACAAATTATGTTAGAAGATAGAAATAATTTACAATTTTAATGTATAACCTAAATAAAAACTTAAACGTCATTAAGAGCAAAATAAACAATATTGAAGCAGAAAATATATTGATCTGAAATATAAATATAGTCATTAATATTCGTGATACGTAGACGGACTATGGCATAGACCAGGCATCAGCGTACAACGTGTGAGATAGCGAATGATTGACATATGTCGTATTTACAGTTTTATTATTTACAGTTTTTTTTTATTTTTTCATTGAAGATTGCTTATTATTGACCAAAATATTCACCATGACTGACACTATAAATACACCTCTGATAAGGATAAAGTCTTAAATTAATATGGGTTTGTCTTGGGTTTCACAGATTTATGACAACATTGTGGTAATGTGGCAAATTGGTAACATTTTGTTTACCTCCAAGCGGTAAACAAATAAAACCCGATACGCAAATAGAGACAGAAAAACTGATACTCTGTTTCGCTTGCACTTAAGTATTTCACGTTAAAGCCTTCTCTCTTTATATTTCTTTATTTTCTTTATATTTCTTTATCTATATCTCGTTATTATTGTCATTTTAGAAGCTCATCTAGTTCTATACTCTATCTACGTCGTGATATAAGTGTAAGAGCGAGATAGCCTATTTCGTAGCTCGGTAACATCTCTAAAGGAGATGTTGCAAGTGCGCGGAGCGCAAGAGGTTCGCGAACATAGTGGATACCTGGCTTAACATTAAATGCATGTTTAATAAGACCGTTTAGAAAGAATTGTTGTTGAGAGAGCAGTGTTGGCGTAATGGTTTCAGCGTGCGCGGTGCGACACACATTCATGAGGTCGTTGGTTCGATCCAACAGTTCATTAATGGACTTTCCTTCTATATGCGCATTTGACACTCGTAAGGGGAAGGAAAACATCGTGAGGAAACCGGCATGCCTTAGTCCTAATCGGCGTGAAGCACCTAGGATTCTTTAATAATAATAAATACCAGTACACACAATAAATAAAAAATAAATAAGGTTTAGAATATAATGCATTTAATTGTTGCAGGTTGATGCTTGAAGACCACATGTACTCATCTTCGAAGAAAGCGGCCTGCTGGCTGGCCACATTCCTCAGCGTTTTTGTTACTGGTAACAACAAACAACAATAAAATATGTCTTTCACATTGTCACAATAATAAGTTTCAAGACACTAGTTTAATACTTCGTTAATATTGGCTTAAGTATTCAGTATGTATAAAGCTTCTATCTAGCGAAGCTGTATCATCGAAACCAACCTTCTCTCTATATCATTTTTGTAGCTATCACTTCACAGTATTCAAACAAAAAGAATGCCAATGTTAATCTCATTTAACCTTTGGTGGTTCTCTCTGTCAAAATCAAACTGACAATTGTCATTCTTTTTAGATGTCACCGATATAGCGCAAACCCATTATTAATGGATGACATAGATTCTTTTCTTTAGAGCAAGTCTTAATTACATTAAGAAAAATCCACTGGTACACAGCCTTGTAATTTACAAAAAACGTACTAATTCTTAAAAGACCGGCAACGTATTTGCGAGGTGGTAGCGTGAGCGCCCATGGGTGGCGATGTCACTTAACAACAGATGAGCCTCCAGTCAGTTGGCCGTCTGTTCTATAAAATAAAGTTGCGGGAAATGACTAGCGGAACTCGTAAAATCTGCGCATTGTGTATTAGGTATATTATATTTTAAAATAAATTGAACAATGGGTACAAAATACATACCAAAATTTTCTCCTGTATCACAGGGTCAAATTCTTTAAAGCAAGCAACGAGACTCCTCTAACACTTGAAGCAAATATTCCGCTAATCATTTTACAATTCACGACATCGACAAGTTAAGACTCTTTTCTCAACGAAATTGAATATTAATTTGTTGGAAAATCTTTTTCAACTGGATATTTCGGTTCAGCGCGTTTAATAATTCAACGTCGCATAGAAAATCTATGCTTACCATTTGAGTTCCAATATTTAATGCAATAGCTGTACGATTTTTAATATCCGACATTCACAGATTCAATTAAAATATAGTTTTTAGTACGACATCAGATTGTAATAATCATCTTGGTATCGTATTTTGAATCACATTGATCTCTTAACCGTCGTGACATAAGGGCGTAAGAATAAGTATTTATAAAATTTATGTAATGTTTATATTTAACATGATTTTTTATACAAATTTAAATTTGTTTAGGTCTCTGTAGAATTTATTGTTTAAATTTAAATAAAAATAAACAATAGAAATTATAAACACAAATTAACGTTTGAGATTAATCAAAATCGAAATAAACCTAATCTCGTTTTGATAGATTTTAGGTGAAATTTGATAGATGCTGAGTGTATGCATTGCAGTATTTTTGTTGTCTTTTTTATTGTTTGTAACCTTTGCTGCTGAATAAATTTATTTTACTTTTAAATTATAGTGTTCCATTCAAACTTGAGTTTTTGTAAAATTTACTGGTTTTATCATCCTTTCAATGTTTTATAAAAAAAAACATCAATGCATCAAGTATATCAATACATCTTCAAAGCATCGGAACTATTCAATCTATCGCATTGTAAACATCGATGTATATCGAATAGTTCGAGGTCCGGGTTATAAAAAACCAGACATAATGTCGGGAGGTGGCAGATGAAAAATCGACTATGATTGATTTCCAATTATAAAAATAATCGATTATTAATCGATTATTTTTTCACATCCCTAGTTAAAATCATCCAACGTATTAATTAATGTCTAACGAAATATCAAGCAAAATATGTTTATCTTATTTTAAGTGCCAACAAAAGTTGTTAAACCTAGGCTATTAATAATAGCTAGGCTATATTAACAATAATAAATAAACGAAAGTTAAAAGAACAATCGGATCAAAAGTGATATTATGGAATTAGCTAACAGTTAGAGACTGCTCACATGTTATAACTTAAACTTATTAGTGTAGTGAGCTTGATTTGCAATTAAATTTACTTTTGTGTTATTTGGTTTTAGTGAATACTTGAAAATGACTTTTTAAGTGTAGTTATACCTATATTTAAATGAAAAAACCGTACATTTTAAATTTAGCAAAGTCAACAACAATAACCTTTTCCATCACGGTCCAGCCATGTCAATTTATTTTAATTTTAGGTGAAATGCCAATTCAAGCTGAGGTTGAACCGGAATTTCTACAGGCATTGGAAAATCACACAGTCACACAGGGTCGGGATGTGCACTTCACGTGTGTTGTCAATCACCTATCACATTACCGGGTAAGTGTATTTTTATTTATTTAACGTAACTTTCTCGGAGTGTTGTTTATACTGAAAAGAAAATATAGTTTGTAAAAAAATCAGCCTCAAAATCGCTGTGCCGCGATACGGAATATTTACCACATAGTTTTATCAGCTTACACTATTTATTAAGTTTAAAAAGAATATCCTATTGTGGTCTTACATTCTAATTTCGAAGTTGATAAAGGAGTAACTGTATACTTAGTCTTTATATAAATCTTCACATTGCAATTTTTGGCCAAAACATACCTACAATCTACATAGACTTTTTTGAAAGCATAGATATGTAGATGCCAAAACATAAGCCTGTAGCGAATAGTAGATACGCACTAAAAATGTACATACTATTTTGTGTAGTATTTTCTATAAGATTTTGATGTATGTGGCAACATAAAGATAGAACACTAAGAAAAGAAGAAAACAGACGTCACTCAGAACAGACTTTTAAGACGAGTGAATATACATGTCTTTTTTTTCCTTGAGCGTTTCTATAATGGCGCGTCTAAACGGGCCATGTTTTGCTGCAATTGATGGCTGCACTGTTGGCCACTAATTGCCCGGCCATTACAAAAATATTTTAATGCAGCTGATGGCCGAACAATCTATGGCTGGGCAATGTGTTGCAATAGTATGGCCCATGATGCAGACTCCTAAACGGGCTACACAAACCGGCAACAATGGCTGACTTGTCGCAGCAGCTTATATTGTTTTAAAAAAGAAACAGAAAAAGAAGAGATTGTGGATTCGACCTGACTTAAATAGGCGTGAAACTGTAGACAATTTGAGTCTAGAAATAAGTCTTGATAATAAATTATTCAAGAACTAGAATGTCAAAAGTAGTCATTTTTACGTAGTAATCTAACGTCAAATACAGCTGATCGCAAAACACAGAATAAAGCAACAGGCACACTTCACTCAAAGCAAACGTTATGTCGCGTAGAAAAGGATACACTATGCCATAACAAAGAGAGTGACTGAAACAACAAGAGAACTGGCTGTGCAATATTGCAGTTGAATTCGATAGCCTAGCGATCGTCCGGTCACCCATCGGGGCAACATCGGCCATATGTGGCTATAAAAAACATGTTTGGCTATAAGGCCGGGACATTACTGCAATATTGCATAGTGTGGCTGCTATTGTTTGCAATGTTGCCGGCCACAGTGTTGCAGCCATCAATTGCAGCAAAACATGGCCCGTTTAGACGCGCCATAAGAATATAAATTAATTACTCTTGTTTGTGAACAATAAACCAATTAACAAAGATAAAAATGGGTTGTGATTTATAACAAGATGAACATCCCATAAGCCTTAACCTTAGTTTGAGTATGTCAAAAATGTCAATCTTAATAAAAATATATACTTTTTAAGATTTATTTTTTATTTTTTCTATGCAAAGAACTAAAATTAATATGACTATAAATCAATAATATTCTGTTGTTCTATTTATTATTTATATGTTCTGTGTATTTTCTATGTACTATGTAGTCTGTGCATCTGCTTGTTTGTGCTATGACGGTGTTTAAAAGCAATGTTTTTTTAAATATAAAGATACACTAATAATATTATTTGCTAATGGTGGACTTAAAAGCTAAAAAGTACCAAAAAGGATCCTTCTGAACCCAATTACGGACTGATACCAGATTTCAACTACGCAATTAGGATAAAACGTTGCGTTGGTATGTTGTTTGATATCTTTTTTATCATTAATAACGAAATTTTGGAAAACGTACAAATTGGATCCTGAATTAAATTGAAGAAACATTGGTTATTATAGTTACTATTTATTAAATCACTGATTTGGCAGACAAATAATCGAAAATAAAATTTATTGTTATTCTGCGTGTTTGATTTCATCTTTGTGTAGATCATAGATTCTTATTACCTACTATTTCTTTAAATAACAAATTATAACTAAAATATCTGTGTCTAGACGGTCATTATAAATAAATGACGAAAAAATAAATTAATAACGAAATTTTGGAAAACGTACAAACTGGATCCTGAATTAAATTGAAGAAACATTGGTTATTATAGTTACTATTTATTAAATCACTGATTTGGCAGATAAATAATCGAAAATAAAATTTATTGTTATTCTGCGTGTTTGATTTCATCTTTGTGTAGATCATAGATTCTTATTACCTACTATTTCTTTAAATAACAAATTATAACTAAAATATCTATGTGTCTAGACGGTCATTATAAATAAATTGTCGCAAAATTTAAAATATAACGGTCACAATTCTAAAAATTACTATTACGGATGATTGTTTACAGAATGTATATTATATATTTTTTTATTTAAACAAAAGCTAAACTCACGTTGGTAACTTGTAAAGAGTATTAATGAGTTTATTAATATATAAAAAAATAATAATTAAGAAGTGAACATTACAAACATTGTTTTGTTTAAAATATTAATTATAACTTCTTCCATAAAACACAATAAGCTGAAGTTTAAACAACATTACCTACGCAAATATTTGTACCTAATGGACGAGAAGAATTTGAAATTATAATTTCGCTTATAAAAGGTAAAAGGCTAAACTTTATTTCGTGTCACGTTAATTACGAGCTTTTTCACTGAGACAAGAGTCATAAACTTATTAATGTAGAGTAATTTATCTCCGGCCATAATGAAACGGTCGTATTGTTAAAAACTGAAAAATATTTGCTTATTATGTTACAAAGAGCAAGGATCTTAAGAATGATAACCCAATTTTTAATTCTCAAATAAGGTTAATTAGAGTCATAATTTTGTTTTGTTATCATACAATGACAGCAGTTCTCGGAGTCGTTCATTATATTAACACAAGCCACGCATAAATAAGTTCACCCCAGGGCTTCATTCATCATCAGTGGTTAACTATAGGTACGCGCATTAATGCTTGGCCTTTCTTTTAGTCAACACGGATAATGTAAATAATAATACAAAGTCCTTGCTTACACTTATTCCCTGATATTTCAAAACATACTATAAATTTTAGCTGTCCATATTAGGGAGCGTTCAAGTATTGTGTAACGAATTTGGCCCCCCAAATTATAAGATAAAACCAATATATATGTATACTTTGAAAAAGAGCATGCTCCTCCCTGAAAGGCCGGCATCGCACCCACTAAAATGGGGATTTTTTTTTAAAGAACTGGGGGCAAACAGGCATAGGCTCTCCATGCTAGAGGGCTCGCGATCGCTTTGCGGGCCTTTGTCACTGCGATGACTGCCTATTTTAGGCGTCCCGTAGGCTCGTTTCCGGAGGGGATGATAAAAAATAGTATTCATAATAAAATATAAAGCTAATGAACTCGCACCCATTTCCAAAACCGCATTTGCGCTGCAACTTTTAACTGAAACATGATAATCGTAAAAGCTGAATATTAAATAGTGCCTAGAAATTAAAGTTGATCTCATGTACAAATTGGATAATGGAAGATAAGTGAGCAGTAATTACGCTTCTGCCAACGTCGTTGGTCATTACGCTCCGTATTAAATGAAACCAGATAAAAACTTTTTCAAATAAAAATTATTTTCTCACAAACTTTTTACGACAGTCGTTCAAGACGCCTGTTGCTTTTAAAGGGACGTGCTGCGGAATGTTTATGATACGCATATCAAGGCTGTACGTAAAATCAGCGTGTTTGGTTACGAAAGCACGGCTGTCTTTCGAACAGTTGCAGGATTTAATCTTACATAAGAAAAGCATTATTTCGCTAAACACGTATTCAACGATTTTAATAAATTTAGCAAAGGATAACTTTCTTAAAATTATATATTTCTGCAACTATACAACTTGGCAAATCCTTGAAGTGAGGCTATGGAATTCACTTCCCGTCCCTATTCGCTTAGCTCCTTCTCTATCTTCCTTTAAATCTCTACTGTACAAACATTACCTGTCCACATCGTATCCCTAACTTTCGTACCAACCCATGTGAGACTGATCTAAATTTATCGTGATTCATGTGTGTTTTATTTTTCATATTGTGTCCTTTTTAGTTTAGTTTTTTTTTGTTCCTGTAACTTTATGTATTATGTATTTCTGCTCTTCTTGCTAGTTGCTTGCCTTATCTAATTTTATTTTATTTTTTTCACTGTGGTTGCCTGGAAGAGATCGCTCTAAAGCGATAAGGTTGCCAGTTGCCCTCCTTTTTCATTTAATTATGTCAATTGTATTATGTACCTGCATCAAATAATAAATAAATGTATCTGATACCACCATCAGTTACTGTTAAAGTCCAGCCTTGTGATTCTGTAACTCACTATTCGAACTCTCACAGCGGTTTTCGAAGCGGCGGTCGCGCTCAAATCAGTCGTGAAGCAGTCATTTTACGATTTTGCATTCTGATAAGGAGGGAGCTTGTAGTTTATTGTTTATACTGCTAGAGTACAAATGTTTTTTTTATATAACGTGGCAAACGGTAGGAGTCTCGCTTGATGTTAAGTGATTCCGGCCATAGACACTCATTACCAGAGGGCCTGACCGGCCTTTAAATGAAGCGTCTAAATGCTACAAGGGGTAACGGTAGGTAATAAATGACTTTAAAATTAGTACAGAGCTGTAAGGTAAATTAAATAAAAACTGCGAGTACAATATTACAGAAGTGAACACAAGAAATAGGAGAAATTGTACAAAAGACAGTGTCGTAACGGCACACGTCGTTCCAGAACAATACGTTAATAATAACGTTGGTGCACGGAAGCGGGACTGGCTTCAGTCGGAAATAATTTTCACAAACAATGAAATTGTTACTAATTTATTTTCCAACCACAACAAAGCGAGATGTCATATGAAAAATGTGCGGAAGCAGCGCGGAGACGTACATTCCTTGAGCGTTTACTTACAGCAACCTCCATGTTTCACCTTTACAGTGCCATTAAGTTTTGCTACAAACAATGTAAACTATTTTAAACTTCGAAGCAAGTAAGTATTAGGCACAATTTATTAAATTAATCCTACATCGTTTCAACCGTTTCGTATTTCAAATAATAATTTGTGATTATAATGAATATAACCTTGAAATTTAACGCGTTTATTACATCGACTATTAGCTGGTGATTACGCAAGATATGAGCTATAGCTAATAAATAGCTTTTTTATTTACACATTTGGTGTATGGATCACATCACAGAGATGCATCACTATAGCATAAATATAGATTGTTAAGGATGAAACGTGCGGCCTTATCGCTAACAAGCGATTTTTGACAGGCAACCATAGTATGGAAAAATAAATACTAAGGTTAAAGTGCATATAAAATAAAATAACTTATAAAATTACAAAACTAAAACTAAAAAATTAAAACTTTAAGAGTCATAAAATATAAATAGTAAATTATATAAATAATACAATTACAAAAAAAAATATAATTAAAGGCACGATAGTTTACTATAGTTAAACACCGACAGAATTCACACACCGGAAGAGTTGCATTACCCATAGGTATATGTTATGAAAAGATTATCCCTTTTCTTGTTCTTCAAAACTACGTCCAAAACTACACATTTATGACATGCCTTTCTGTCATTTATTGACATAGTAATAAGATATAAAAACCTTATTAAATAGTGCTTTAAAAGAGACTCCATATTTATGATCGTTGGCGGCAAATATTTATGTTATATGTAATGATTTATTCTGTCTGTCAAAAATAAATTTACAATTATTCCTTAACATATACTGGCTACTTTATACGTGTATACGCTAAATAACCCGTCTTACGTAAATATTATATGGAAACGATATCGCGGCCACGTTATTATTTCAGTCAAATTTTCACATTTGCGTTAAGTTGACTCGTTGATGAAGTGGCAAACTTGAACAAAACAAAAACTCAATTTCGGAATTGTAATCGGAATCGCTTTTGATAACGTTAAGCTCAACGTAGCCTGCTGTGTTAATGGACTGTGATTTCACTTAACATCATGCATCGTAGCTCTGTACTATAAAGGAGCTTCTAAAACATATATTTTCTCAATGGCTTGGTTATAATGTATATTGAATCAAATCAAAATCATTTATTCATTTAGGTAACACAATGTACACACACTAAGAAAAACATATTAAATGCTTCTAATTTTACATTTACTGCCAGTTCCCAAATCAAGGGCGTAGGACGGAAGAGAAGGAGCTGCAACCATTACACCATGTTCCACATGACATCTTAAGTAATTAATTGATAATAATAAAATAAATTAAAAACAAAGATTTGTCTTCTATCAGCAGGAGGCATGGTAAAATAGGATCACGCACTTACATTCTCGTGGGAACAACACGCAAATCATATTATGTTGCGTGAACAACATATTATCATTGGTAAATAAGTTGTAAATTTGTACGACTGTCTTGGACGGAAAAACTATATTTTGCTTTGTGTTTTCACTATACTTTTTTTTAAATATCCGAGGTAAAGTAAGGAGAAGGAAAGTATCAGTGGTATGTGGGACCCACACCAAAATCTCTGCTATTCAGAGACTGGGTGAGAAATACCCGTCAAAACCACCTCGGGTATTTACTACAAGGCCGCGTAAGAGGCTCCGGGGTCGTCTCGCATTCTACCGGGGCTAAAAGGATGGTGAATTGCCGCACCGTTTGTTTCAACCCTCAGTCTAGGGTGTTGACATACATGTTTCTACTACAGTCTTTTTATAGTATCCCGCACTGCCTTAGAAATTCGACCGTGCCCTCCATATATAGTTAAACCACTCGGCACCATACACCCCTACCTAAGTCAGAGAACAAATTGAAAATTTTATAAACTTGTGCTCCGACCGGGTCTAGAATCCGATCGCCTCATAAGACCGCAAGTTACAAGGCCTTTGGCAACATACTACTTTAAACTATGTATATAATAGTATATAATGATAAATAATTAATCTTATATTTTCCTTTCTCACAGGTGGCGTGGTTGAAATCTGATTCGAAAGCAATCCTCGCTATTCATACAAAAATGGTGGCTTTAAACCCACGACTGTCAGTCACATATAACAATCACAACACGTGGAAATTGCACGTCAGCAATGTGCAGTCGAACGATTCAGGCACTTATATGTGTCAGGTCAACACAGACCCCATGAAAAGCCAGGTAAAATTAGTTCTAGTTAGTGTGGAAAATGATTCGTAGATCAAGAAGTGATAAGCTTCATATTAGAAGCGAAATTCAAAAGGTTGAACTCAATTGTTCTCTATTTACGCTAGGCTAAGAAACACTTTTACTGAATATAGTTTTATAAAGAGCGAGAAATGCTGCCAGCTTAAGGCCATGTTCAGATAGCAAAATTTTGACACAAAACATCGTGGTATTTACAACCGATCACATGAGCGTGTGTTAACGCGCGTCTGCGAGCGAGCGCGCGAACGCGCGATAGGTAGGTATGTAACGTCCGTTGAGCGCGCTTCCATCGCGATTGCAAGTTTTTTTGTGACTTGCTATCGTAATCAGTTCAGTGAATCTGTAAATATGTAATATAACCACAAAATAATAGCTTTCTAAACTCTATCGAAACAGACTGACGATCTCTCGCAAAGCGCGTTAGCTTGCTTTGAACTCTTTATAAATGTGATCGTGCGTTGACCTGCGTTAACGCGCGTTACATGTGAACAAGGCCCCCTTCATTTGCGATATTTGTTTTAAATAAGTGTTGTTTGATGATTTGCTGTTTTAAAGAGTACCGAGAGTTTTTACGCGCTTTTTCCCCGGCCCCACCCTCTGTCTTCTTTGCGATAGAAGGCCTTCTTTTTTTTTTTTTTTTTTTTTTTTTTAATGCTACACTATCGGGACCAAAGTTATAAATTTGTTTTAGTTTTCTATTTATTTATTTGAATTATTATTATAACTATGTATTTTAAGTAAACTATACAATACAACAACTCTACAATTTTTAACCAGCGCCACTGAAATTAGGCTCATAACCGCCACTAATGGTCTTATATTTGTATGACAAATATTTGAAGCAGACGTATTCCATCGCATGAAATGCCCTGTAAAACATGTACTAAAGATTGTATCAGGTTTGTAGTACTATGTTTTTATGTCATGGTAACATATAGTTTTATAATAACTGTCCGAAATTCAAACATGTTCTACCAATTTGTTACTATTGGCCTCTGCATTATTGGAGTTTGCGCATCATTTGTTAGGATCAAATCAAACAGAAAATTAATTTTATCATTACAACACCGTTTCATTTCCACGAATTGAACTTGTGCCAATAGATGTTTAATTCAATAATTACTATTCAAATGTTCGATTGCATTTTGAGTCGAAAGAGTTCTTTTTTAGATTAAGAAACTAAGTAGTGTATGTGGAAAGGGAACCGTGGGATTTGAGGTTGTAGCATTGCTAAATTAGATATTTTGTTTGAGAACACTGATAATCTTAATTATCTTTATATGAATATAAAATAAGTATAGCTAAATAGGAATTATTAGTTCGCATAACCGCGACGCCGCGCCGGTTCTCTTTCTGCACATATATCATCGTATTAGTTAAGAAATAAATATATATTGACACACAAACACAGTACAATAAAAGCATAAATTACTTTAATGTAATAAAAGTTCCGAAGAGTTTCTTGCCAGTGTTTGATTTGAGAACTGGCATGAATAAATGACACAAATATAGAGTATTTACAATATTCTTAACCTATATAGTAATAATAATAATTAAAAATCGATTAATAGAAAACTAAAATAAATTTTAAAAGTTTGGTCCCTGTGGCAGACCGTTAATGCTGGCAGCAGTTTTTCGCTGTATTGCGATACATATTCTTAGAGTGTGGAAAGCACCAGCTCTAGAGTACACCGGTCTCCCTGCCGCCAACTAATATATTTAATTATCTTCTGTTCACCTGAACCCCACGGCACAAGTCTCTAATAAATTATATCTGATTTTGAATTAATTACTCAGCCGCCCTATTATAAAATATCGTATCAACCGGTACAATCATTTTATAGCATAATAATTGCCGTTTTAGTAATATTTTTGTACGCAATTTTTAACAGGCTATCGGCCAATTATAATTTATCGTTAAAAGCCGATAACTTTTTTTGCTGACATCACATTTCAATAGAATTCCTAAATGTTGCTACTGTAAATTAATAAATGGAAAAGCTTTTGTAATTGTTTGATAAATAAATAAAACTTTGAATGTAAGCTTTCCTAAGTGTTAATACAATAGATACGTCTGTTTAATTCTTTTATTAACAAATATGTAAGCGTCTCGCCGTTACTTTTGTTCAACAACGGCATGTTAAATATTTATAATTTGTTCATGATATCCTATGCAGGATGGCCAAAAAGTCGTGGATCAAACGCAACTAGGGGTTAAGGCCGATTTACATTATCTTAGTGTTTAGGAGAGTGCTTTAGGATAGTACTTTAGTTGAAACATGTAAACGCTACTTGCTTTAGTACGGTTCTACTTGACTTTCAAGTTGAATCAAAATAGAATCGCTTTTTATTTTTGTATCAAGTGATACCCCTCCCGCGTCCGCGCAACCCCCGAGATCTTCCCTCGTTGTGTAAACACGTAATTTAGTGCAATCTTTAGGAAAGTGCACAAGTGCCGTCAAACGCGTGCGTGTTTTTTGATTTTTAAAGATGGCTAAATGGTCCGAAGATACAACTATCAAATTTGTGTCTGAATATATTGTTCACGAATGTTTGTGGAACGTTAAAAACAATTTATACAAATCAAACAGGCTAGGCATTCGGCATACACTGCCTTAAAAGAAGCTATTTTATTTATTATTCATATTTAGTTTATTTATTTCGAATAAAATCTCGTCTTATATTTGTTCCATAACTACAGTTAGTATTTTGCGTAAAATAGAGCGTATTTGCCGACGTCGTTGCGCGTTCATTGTGGCGCTGTAATGATACTCTACTCACTACTGGAAGAAATGTAAACGTTCACTCGCAACGCACTAAAGCACTAAAGAACTTGCCTTTCAACTTGTACTAAAATACTCTCCTAAACACTAAGGTAATGTAAATCGGCCCTTAGATGGGGTCATCAGCTGCAAAAAAATATTCTACGGGAGGTCCTTCAGCTCAACCAATGCAGAGTTATAATTTATTTTGCGTTTTTATAAGAAAATTGACTTTTTTTACTAATTCTTATTAAAATTGGAAAAAATCTAAATCCTGTATCTTTTTCATAATATCGTCTAGATTGGTACTGACGAGTCCTTGCGTTAGACATGCTATTTATGGTTGTTTATTGGGTGTATTGAAGATAATATTAAGTTATACGATAAAAAAATTCTCAAATCATAACTTTTTGTTTACTTCGGACGCAACACACAACTACACCTAACACCTGTAGATTTTTCCACGAATTTTTGGCCACTGTATATATTAATTTCAAAAAATTATGCGTCTATCAACTATACTTTGGATCGGTATGATAAATAACAAAAAAAGAACAAGTTCTTGTTAAAGGTTACTTTTAAATTACGGCTGGAAATTGATGCTACCTATGCGGGCTAAAATCTTGTTTGTGGGTTTTAAACTAACTATGCGCTGACTTAAATTGTATACTTGACAGATGGGTTATCTAGCCGTGCTGATCCCACCAGATATAGTAGACAGTGCGGCTGAAGGCAGCTCAGCAAGAGAAGGTGGAAATATTCGTCTAACCTGCACTGCTACCGGTGTTCCCGCGCCCACTGTCATGTGGAGGAGGGAACATAACCAACCCATCGTGTTTAGACACGACGGAGGAAGGGAGAAAAAAGGTAAGTATCTTATTATAATCTATTTGATAACATTTGAATAGACATAAGAAGAAAACGATAGCCACAAACATCAGTTATAAATGTTCATAAGCCATCAATGAATCTATGGTAGATTGTAAAGCCATGGTATTCGGTTTTATTGGTCAAGGCAAGTCGTTTCTGCACAGCCCCTAATGGGCCCTAGCGTCAGTATCATCAATCTACCGCCTCCGCCTCCGCGTTTCGAAATATTGTTTCAAAGTCAACAAGTCCAGCTTTGGTCTACCGAGTTATTTTGTTGCCAGTTTGTGAGTTCTTACGAGTATTGTAATTCTCTTCTACTACTACTCTTTTTTTTCCCCCCTTTTTTCCTTTTTTCTTTTTCCGTAGGTGGTTAGATAAATGCTTTATTAATTGTTTAACATTATTTCAAGTTAATGTATTTTTAGAATTTTAATCGATAGAGAAAAAATTTAAATCAAAATATGTTGCTAAGCGCAAAACTCGAAGACAGGTGATAAATTCGAGTATTTTTTTGAACACTGCGGAAGGTTTTTATGAAGAGAAAAATTGGAAAACTATAATAAAAATTAAAAAATTTACATGTATTTAGTACTTAGGTTTTTTTTATTCCGGGAAAACGAACAGCAGGGTAGCATAGCAAAATGTTCCGTATGTAACTACTACTACTACCCATTAAAAAGGCTGAAGTGTGAGTGAAAATATAATGTTAAGGCGAAACGAAGTTCGTGGGGGCAGCTAGTCTAATATACTTATCTAGAAGTGAATTGAAAGGAAACCTATTTATAAAGCAAGAATTTTATGATTTTGTACTATCCTTCCCGAAATAATATTGTAACCAAGAAAAGCGTCATGCTTTGTATAAACTCATCGCCTAACTAGAGGCAATAAAAACGATTAGAACAAAATATTTTAAAATCCTTTAAAAATACTGAATAATAAATTGCTTCATTTAATAAAAGCTTCACTATAACAAGAATGTTTCCGGTAATTGTTTTTATTGCGGCGCTCACCGTTTGAAATTCGTAGAAACATAAAAGGCCAAGAATCTACCTGAATAAAAGTAGCAAACAATTTGTACTGCACAATGGCGTCTAGCGGCGAACGTAATAGCTTGGAAAATATCCTGGATCCTAAGGCTCCCTTGTTTTCGAGTTGCCTCAATTGGACGTTGATTTCATACTATTCTACATTTACACAGATACTAGGAAAATGTGGGATTGTATGAAAAGGAACGATGGATGAATTCTTCATATAAGTTATATAGAGAATTGTTTATACTTTTTGTTATTACTACTTGATGTTGCGGGATGTGAACAAGAAACCAGGCAGAATACGAAATACCACCAGTATCACCTCTACCCTCTACAGTCTACACTCGTCGTTCCACAACTGAGCGTTTCTTAAGACAGATTTTGCCGCACACCACCACAATGTCTGCTGCCCACTGCAGTATTTCCAAACCAATTCGACTTAGACTCCTTCAAAAAAAGAAATCAGAAGCGTATCAATTCTTAAAAGGCCGGCAACGCTCTTGTGAGCCCTCTGGCAATGTGCATAGGCGGCGGTATCACTAACATACATCAGATGAGGCTGCTGCCCATTTGCCTGTTAAATAAAAAAATCCCCTTTTGTTCGAATTGTGTCGAGCTTTGACTTACATTTAATTCCACGTAAATATAAAATTGACAGTGAATGATTCATCATGCGTATACTTTGTATTTTTGTATTTGGTAATAACCTAATAAATAAGTTGACAGAACATCTCTTCGTCACAATTGTATCACCGCGACAATTACGTGGAACCTTACCGACGCGAAGTTTTACGACTTCCTTCACGAAAAGAATGGACCAATTAAAAAGTCGACGATTCTGGCAGTATCGGTGTCTACCGTTCTAACGTTGCGTAAACCACCGTACAATTTACAATTCAAGTAATTATACAATCTAATTAGTTGCACTTATAACAGCCTAAGCATAAATAAATATGTTGTCTGTACCATCAAAACCGAAACAATAAAAATAAAAGCCAATGCGTACCATTTTAATAAATTTGCACGAAAACTTTTACAACTAATAAAATATTTTAAAATTCACTCACTTTGTATGTATGTGAGGTAATTATTAAGCTAACAATTATTTGTTATTACATATTAAATATATAATAACGAATTAAATCGTCCACACCATCGACGTCCGTACTGAAGTGTTTCTGAACCAATTCGACTTAAGGTCCTTCAAGAAAAGAGCGTAGCAATTCTTAAAAGGCCGACAACGCACTCGCGAGCCCTCTGGCATTGAGAGTGTCCATGGGCGGCTGTATCACTTTACATCAGGTGAGCCCGTTTGCCCCGTTCTATAATAATAATAATCTGTGGATGTAGTAATAACAGATGATAGAGTCACTGCTTAATTGTTCATTCGTAATCTTACAAGACGTAACGTAAGCCGTAGAATTGACGAACATACTGTTGTTCCACACTTGTGGTATTTTCTTACAACACTCGCTTTGAATGCATAGAGAGGTTCTCCCGTTTTATCTTTCCTTTCACTATTTTCTAACGAGAATGTGAATAGACTTTTAATAGATAAGCGTATCTCAGACCATTTTTATTTGCTCAGCGCGAGGGTAAGAGTTCACTTATAAACGGTAAATCTAGCTTTCCATAATGCAGGATTTTAAAAAATACGGAGAATAATGTCCTTAAAATGGTACTTTAGGAGATATATTCAATAGTTTGAAGTCTTATTGGGAAGCCGCATTTCTTTAACGTTCGCTTATTGGAAACCAATTGAAGTGAATCACGATTTGATATTTTTGTTAACTTATAGAGTTAGTGAAGCATTTAGGTGTCTTAAGTACTTTCCCAAGAAGTGTGTGTACGTGCCGCGCTGTTTTTGATAACACTCCGAAAATGCTTGTCAGTTTATTTTTGAAGTTATACTTCTTTAGGCGCGTTATGAAAAATTTATGAGAGTGAAATTTTACTATGCGCGCGCACCGTGACACAAAATTAACAAAATGAAGTTGCCCACGGAAGATGCTACGGCATTGGACATAATTTAAAAACAACATTCGAATAATAATATAATTTATGTTACACTTAATGTAAGAGAATAATAATAAATATTTATTTATTTAATTTTTCAAATGTAAACTGAACTTTATTGACTATAATGACTCCTTTTCCAGTCTTTGATTATTTAATTGTAATTAATTATTTGCATGCAATCAAAAACTATTTTTAATTATGCCAAAGAAGTATAACTTCTTACGCGCGAACATAAGTACACGCACCCTTTTTTATTTAGTGAGGTTACTTTGAGGTTTCAGGTGACAAACAATTTTTCTCACGCTCTGTACGGTGTAAAATTTTAACTACGCTTTTCGATTCCAAGCAAACATAGAAAGATTTCTATAGCTTGGTATTTAAAAAATAGTACTAATTTTGTCAACTACGAGTATATACCCAAAACTGGAAATAAAAACATTTTTCGGATTTATTTTATAAGCATTTGGCACGTTCAAAAATTTCTTTAAAATTTGATATTTCAGCTCGATTCTGTTCAAAATACCGCAAAAGACCGAGTTTATTTTCGTTCATTTTGTTTTTATTCCTTAATTGCCCTGGGATTTAGAGCATGTTAATATAAACTGAAATTTTGTCCGAATTCGTACTACTTGAATACTTAATGGTTTTATTAAATGTGATACAAAAATCGTTTTTAAAATATATGCACAATTTTCGTATTATTCACAGACTAGCGTTACTTACAACCCTTGATCGAGTTCAATCTCACATCTATATCTTTATATATATAATTCTTCTGTGAGTGTGTATGTCACTGAACTTCTCTCAAACGACTGGACCGATTTTGATGAAATTTTTTGTGTGTGTTCAAGGGGATCTGGGAATGGTTTAGATTCACAAATCAGCCCGGCAGATGGCACTGCAGTCGGTACTTTCATACTTTGCTTAATATCCTAATCGCTTTAAATATCATGCAGGACAACGTCTGTGGGGTCCACTCGTGTCTTTATAATTCCATAAAGGCAATAATATTCAAGCGTCTTTCTCTTTTTTTTTATATAATAGGGGGGCAAACGAGCTTGCGGGACGACCAAAAAGTAGGGCAGTCTACGCAGCCCATAGACACCCATTTTTAGTGGGTGCGTTGCCGGCCTTTGAGGGAGGAGTAGACTCGCTTTTTAAACATTTTGAGGTCGTATCTCTGAAGGAAGACCCCCCGGGAGTCGATTCCACAGTTCGCTAGTTCGCAAAAGAAAATGCCTTGTGAAACGGACTGTGGAAGACTTCCAACCATCAAGATGATGTTGGTGAAATTTAGAGGTCGTACGGCTCGTACGGTGTTGAAAAGAGGCAGGAGGGATCAACCCAAACAATTCTTCCGAACACTCTCCGTAGTAAACTTTGTAAAAAACGCAAAGAGACGCTCAAAACTCACATACTAAACTTTCAAAATATTACCCCAAAGAATAATATTACAAATTTACAAATGTACGGAAAATTGTATTAAGAAATATTCATGAGTCCCGGAAACGTTGAATTAATTGTGAGAGCTTTCCCAGTCAGGATCTCAGCTCGTTAGATCCAGGATTCGCATAAAGCAAATACTTTTTAAACACCCTAGAACAGATATTTTTCCGTCGTACTTTCCTTTGTACTAAAGAATTTTTCATTTCACCTTTCTATTGCAGAATATTTTCGAAACGACCTCGCTAGTTTAACAGCAAATTAATGCAAAATGTTAGTAATTTTTACATTGGAGTGTGGAATATATGTAAAAACATAAATGTACGGTAATCTTTTTCACGACGTATTTAAATCTGCGCTTTATTGAATTACTGACGTAATTAATTCAAACGGATTCAGAGAACGCTTTCGGAGCTAAAACTATTTCAGTTGAATTATTTCCAATGATCCCGTAAATAGATTTTATTACATTTTGCTAATAAACTCACTAAAGAGGACTCAGAGCACAAGGCAGACATATTTCTACTTATGTTGATAATTTAGTCCTAGTTTGCTATACAGTATACACGCCATCAATGCTTGGGTCGGGTAATTCAGATTCCTCAAGCTTTAATGG